CCTCTCACCCCCCCCCCCAGTCCTCTCTCCCATCCCCCCGCCCCGCCCCGCGAGCAGCGCGTCCTGTCTGCGTGGCCAGCTCGCGCTACTGACCGCGCGCGCTTCGACAGCGCCTGCTCGGACCTGCTTCCTCGGGGGTAGGCCGATCCAGAATCCGGCATCCCGCCCCCCTGCCCCCCCCCCCCCCCCCCCCTCCCCGCGACCCCCTCGCCCCTCCCCCCCCCCCCCCCCTCTCCACCCCCCCTCTTCCTTCGGCGCCAGCCGCCGACGATGGGTCCGCATGGGCGGGGCCTACTCGAAGCCCCTTGAGCCCGCCGCAATCACCTCCAAGGCAGCTCCTTCTCCATCGACAGCGCCAATATCATCGCGTGCGTTTAGGGCCAGCGACGACGCGGGCGCGCGCCATGTTCCCCCAGTTTTACGCTCGGCGACAACAGCGACTTCACCGCTCCCACGGCCGGGGAACTACAGGCATCGCTCGAGGGAACGGCCCTCGTCGACCGCTTGTCGGATGAAGAAACCCACGCGCGCAAAAGAGTCCGATGCGCCGTCGGGGAAAACCTCCACCACCAGGAGGTGGCGTCGAAGTTCAATGACCAGCCGCTTACAACTCAGCGTCGCGTGAAGTTCGCGAGGGGCCGCGTCGGCGCTGCTCCTGCAGCGGGCCAGAGGGCGAGGCCCCAGCCCTCGACCTCCTCTCCACCGCCGCTGCCCGAGTCCGACGCGCCGAGGCCAGTCCCCCCCGCGCCCAGCGCTGCCCCGATGGTACCTGCGCGAGAGCACGCTCCGTCCAAGCGCAGCTCGAAAGCGCGAAATCTGCGACGACGCGCTGCTTGCCGCCATTCGGCCCAGGGGGCGATCGCGGATATTCCAGCGGGCTGCGCGCGCATTCGCGCCTTGGAACTCAGCGCCATCTTGGGTCGCGAGGCCGCCCGTGGACTCCGCGCGCAGGCGCGGCGAGACATCGGCCCCAATGCCAATGCACAAACGGTCTGCGACCACGAGCGAACTGTCCAAGATGGCAGCCCCATGGGCAGATTTTAGCAAATCGTCGCCCGACGGGAGTGAAGCTGGCTGGCTCGCGGCGCGACGTGCGACGATTGGGGCGCGCGCCTATCACGGCGGGTCTCCGAACGGGATGTTCACGCACGTGCTCAGAGGGAGCATTGCGCAGACAAGCCTTCCTTCGATGAGTCCCCACCACGCCAGACGCGACCTTGGGGCGGCGGCGGCCATCAGACAAGGCTTCGCTTGTTTTGCCGAGACCTGTAGGAACCAAGGGCAATGCCAAATGTGCCGCGCGGCAACTCGGCCCCCGGTGGAAAGGCATCCCTGATTGAGGCCACGTCCAGCAGAGGGGGGCGCGGACGGGAATCTCGGCCGACCCATCTTCGCTGTGCCGCTGGCGCAGGGTGAGGAGGAAACGCGGGAACACTCCTGGAGATGCCCGGGCTTGGCCCGCGAACGGACGGCCCTGGCCACCGTGGTCAGCGGGGGGCAGTGGAAAAGATTCCCGCCGCGCACGCGGCGCCGTCGCCTCTTGGAGAAAGATGCGAAACTCTTCGGCCTGCAGGGCGACCTTGCCCGAGACGAACTTCCACGGCCTATCCCCGGACTTCCGCTGGAAGGCCTAGACGGGGATCACTTCGAGAAATGCGCCGACCCCGCCAGTGGGGGCAGGTGGGCCCGCGCAGCCACCGGCGGGGCGCGTGCGCCGCGGGCCCGTCGCCTCCTCGTCAGGGCAGGATTCCGCGTGCGTCGCGTTCCAGAATTCCTGCTCAACCTCTTTGCCCGAGTGCGCGGCTTGGCGCAGCCAGCGCACTTCGCTGAGACCCTGGCGCGCATTGACCTCGCCGCCGCTGCCGGGAGGCGCGCCCGCATCTCCGCTGACGACCACGCCGTCGCCGACGGCCCCGAAGCTCTCCTAGAAGGCCCCCCCCGAAGCCAAGGGCGCCCGGGCCAACCTCCGGCGGAGAATCCACCTGGCGCCCCGACGACCTGTTGGGGCCCGATCGTTTGATGTTGCTGCGGGCGGCGCCCGTTCACGCCATGACGGCGCCTTCCTGGCCAGAGCTGGTTCGGGCGTGGGCCGCGGGCCAAACCGCCGGCTCAAGTACTCTGCTCGCGCGCGCAGTTCGGCGCAATCAATGCAGCGGGCCGAAGCGCTTGCCATGCTTCGCCCTGTCACCGCGGCAGAACTAGTCGTGCGCGTGTTGATCGACGCCCAGTCGGCCGTTGACGAATTCCATGACCCCCCCCCGGACCGCGAGGGGCCCCGATCGGACCTCTTTGGCAGAGGAGCCACCGCGCGCCTCCAGAATCCCCCGGCTCGTTCCAAGTCAAAAAAGGCGGAATGTCACCCGGGGGAGCAAGGCTCCAACGAAGGGCGCGTCTTTCAATGTGCAGAAGCCTTGAACCGCTACTCTTGCGATTTCGCCACCGTGCGGGCATGGCCCCGCGGCCCCGCGCGGCCTGGTTGGCACCGCCGGTTGACGACGCA